CTCATGGGATCTGGTTCATTGCTGTGATCCATGCTGGCAGGGAGGGGAACGGTATCGTTTTTCCAGGAGGGGCCTGTTAGCTTGGCTGTAAGTGGGGGGGGGGTTGGAGGCTATTTCTGGCCAAGACTGAGGCGGGTGGACAATGTGGGGGCGGGAGGTGTGCGGGGCGCTTGGGCAGGAAACCTGAGCTGGGGCCCGCGTCCAGGATCTGGGAGGAAGGGCCGGTGCTGCGCTGAGGGGAGGCGGGGCCAGGGCAGCCCCGCCCCCAGGGTTGGCAGGGGGAGGCCTCGGCAGCTGGGAGGGGAGCTGGGGGGACAGGAATGTCCCTTCTCCCGGCACCTGTCCCCAGGCTTGTCGACCTTTAACCTCATCCCACAAACACTCCTGGAGAGGCAGGCAAGGAGGGAAGCCCCCTCGGTGTCCACCAGGTACCTGCAGATATTAGTATCAAACCGTTGAGAGCCTGCCTTGGGCCGGGTGCTGCGTTTACACGGATCGGCTCAGTCAAGCCTCAGCTGTATGAAGCAGGCATGGCTACTAGCCCCATTCTACAGATGGGGAATCTGGGCTCAGAGAGGTGAAGTGACTTGCCTAAGGGCACACAGCCTGTGAGCAGTGGAACCACAGTCAGCATCTGGGTGCCTGTAAGCGTGGGCAGGCTGGGCTCAGAGGCAAGGAATGGTCAGGACACAAAGGCTGGGTGCGCCAGAGGTAGCAGGAAGCTCAAACAACTTGAGAAGGAAAGGTGGGACTCTGGAAAAGGCAGGCCTTCGTCTGGGCCTTGAAGGATCTGTGCAATTTGGGCAGGATAAAATGTGCAGGGAAGGGTTTTCCAGCAGGAGGGAACAGCATAAGCAAAGGCATAGATTCAAGAAAGTGCTGGGGACATTTGGAACAGGGCAAGCAGCCTGGCAAGGGCCTCTGCCAGCACTTTGTGGGTCACGAGGCCACTTGAGCGGTGGACTGAGGGTGATACATACTGTTGTGCCCTAAAAGTGCCGTGAGGCTTGGAATTTCCAGCATTTTCCGGGCTAGCCGAGGGGTGGCTGACCTCTAACCCCTTGTGTGATTTCACCGATTGGGGGGCAAAGCCAGGCAGCCCCTGCCCGGAGGCAGGACTGGAGGACGTGGAGGGAAAGGGCCTACACGGAGGAGTCCACTGCAGTCTGGGCGGCTGGGACTGGACAGGAAGCCAGCCGCTCCTTCCGTGTGAGCCCGAGGAGAATGGCCTCTGTGTGAAACGACAAAAAGGCTTTTCTGCCAAGTCAGAAGGGGAGGAAGTGGCCCGCTCGGCCCCTGCCCCAGCCTGAAAGGAGGCTCTGTTGGTGGCCCTGGGGTCTCCGATGCCTAGACTGTGCGGGGAGGGCAGACCAGGGTGGGCAGGGGCCTCTCGTCCCTGTCTCGATGCTCCGGTGGCACCAGGATGGGGGCAGGGGGCTGGGCTGCTGTGCAAGCCGGTCCTTCTGGGTTCTAATCCTGGCATGACCACGTCCTAGCTGTGTGACCTTGGCCAAGTCACTTCACCTCTCTGAGCCCCACTTTTCTCATGAGTAAAATGTTAAGCGGGGGAGCATGCGAGTCGACTGGGGTCGCCATCACACGTTGAGCACTTGCCAAGGGCCAGGCACTGTCCCCAGCACTTGACAGCCACCCGTCCTCTGTTCATCCTCCCAGCAGACTGAGGTGGGCTGTATCATCCCGTTCACTGAGGTTTAAGTACTAGCAGCATGAAGGCTGAAGCCCAGGATGTTTTAGACTCTCAAACTCCAGGCCACGCAGATGTGGAGGAAAAAAGGCTGGAAGGAAACACGCCACACTGTCAACACTGGCTAGGGGAATGAAGGGGATGCATTTTTCTTCTTTTTGTTTATCTGTAATGTCTTATTTGTCTTACCTGGGAATTAGCAGAATATAAAGGAATGAAAAGAATGGGGGCTGTGACGGGCCCAAGGTGAGTTTAGGTTATAGCCACATTAAAGAAGAAACCAGGGGCCAGCCCCGTGGCTTAGTGGTTAAGTTCATGTGCTCTGCTTCAGTGGCCCAGGGTTCACAGGGCCCGGGGTTCGCAGGTTCAGATCCCGGGCACGGACCTACACACTGCTCATTGAGCCATACTGTGGCCGTGTCCCACATACAAAATAGAGGAAAATGGGCATAGACGTTAGGTCAGGGCTAATCTTCCTCAGCAAAAAGAGGAGGATTGGCAATGGATGTTAGCTCAGAGCCACTCTTCCTCACACACATGAAAAAAAGAGAAAAAGGAAAAACCAATTTAAAGATACAGGCTCCTGTTTAATCCTGGGAGGAGGGGGCGTCCAACAGGCCGCAGGGCTCTCTGGGGACGGGGAGGGGGTGCTGAGGTGCTCCACCGCCCCTCCTCAGAGACCTCCTCCCCACATCTGGGCCCCCAAGAGAGGGTAAACAGGGCTCCTGAGATGGACTGTTCCTTCAGCCCCTGGGTTTCTTGGAGATTTGACCAGAGAGCTTGGGGGGTGGAGGGCTCATCAGCAGTTTCCTGCGTTGCTGAGGCCTCTGCCAAGTCTCTGCTCTGGCTCGGGCTCTGAGAAAGAGCTCAGTGAGAGGGACTTTCATCCTCTCCTTCCTCGTCCCAGTGGCCCCACACTGCCCTCCCCTGCCTGGTGACCTCTGTGCTTCTGGGTGACCCTAAGATCCAGGCAGAAGGAAGAGCTGGGCGGGGCCCTGTGGCTTCTGCCACAGGCGAGCAGGCCAGATGACGTCCACCCAGGACCCCCACGCTGCCCGCCAAGGCCGCTGCGGTGGGGGGGGCTCGCAGGCGGTTTCCTAGCCGGGCCTGAGAGGCCTTTGGGGCTTCCGAGGCCAGGGTTTCCTACTCTCCTCAGCCAGTTTTCAACACAAAGAGAGGAAAGGGTGGAATCAAGGAGGCTGGGGAGGGGGTGCGCAGCTGCCGGGGAGGAGGGCCTGGAACAGGTTGAAGGATGCTGCCCAAGCTGTGGAGGCCAGGCCTGCTCCACGCGTGGGGTGGGACGCACTACGGCTGATGGGTGCATTCCTGGAGGCACAGGCCAGTACCCGATAGGCTTGGCCCAGAGGATGGACGGGGAGGTCAAGGCTTGCCAGCCACACCCGGACCCAAGGGGCAGTCTCCTGCTCTCCTGGGCATCACCCACACCCTGCCCAGCGTGAGACCTGCTGCTGCTTCAAAGAGCAGGCAGATCTTGGGTGCCCTTCACCCTCTGAGCAGAGCACGTGGTGAGGGGAACTTCGGAGTCCAAACCGGCACCGTATCCCATTCTTTTTCCTGTCCAAGCTGGTCTGCAGGCTGCCCAGAGCCCCATCTGGATGGTGGGGGGCTGGGGGACTGGCCTGGTCCTCCCATCCCTCCTAGATGGGCAGGGCGTGTGGGAAGCCGGGTTGCCCTTTCTCACCATGAATGAATGGCCAGTGAATTGCCTGCTCCTTCTCCGCCCCACCCAGCAGGGCCACCTTGGTCCCAGGCCTCACCCTCCTCTGGTCAATTGAGGGCACCCCCCTCACTTTTCCTCTGCCCCTCCCAGGGCCACTGGGAAGGAGCCCCCACAGAACTGGGAACCAGGTCTCTCTGGCATGGGGGACATCCCCTAATCCCAGCCTGGACTCACCCCGTCACCTGCAGCCCCTCTGGCTGTGAGCTCCAGCCCCGGGCCTCTCACAAAGGGGGCACACTCGCCGGCCGAACAATTTAATCAGTGCAGATTATTTACAGAAAGAAACATACAGGGGTGGGCACTGACCCCCTCCCCTTGGCTGGCTCTCCGGTTCTGAGGACAGAGGAGGAGGAAGCTACTGGACCTGTGCTGGGGCCAGCCCATGAAACGCCCCTCCCTCCGGGGGCCTTGGGGACTCTGGGTGGTGGAGCCACTTGCTCAGGGCTGCAGGGAAGCAGAGGGGACAGCCGGCTGTACAGTACCATTTCCCACGGCGGCCTCGCCTCCTGCTTACTTTGGGAAGGAGGAGGAGGAAGCGTCTCCGCCCTCAGGGCTGAGCCCAGGGGGAGGCAAGTCTCGAGGCCACAGAGGGCTCCTCTGGGGGCTCCACAGCCCTGTCCCACAGTCTGCGTGGGGGGATGCACCGCTGGCCTCCCCACCGTCCCTTCTCCTAGGGCGCTGGAGGACAGGGAGCTGGAGGGGAGGAAGCCCCCCAGCCTGGTGTGTGGTGGGCTGTGGACATCCACAACCCCAGCCTGGGCACCCCTCAGCCCCCTCTCCCCCGGGGACACTGGCAGCTGGCGCTGAGGCTGGCAGGGTTCTGAGAGCCCTGAGGACAGTGCTGTGGATGAGGAAGGGTGGGAGGGGCCCAGGGAGGGAGCCCAGGTAGGTCACAGCCCCGAGAGGAGAAAGTGGAGGGGGGCTGGAAGCCCAGCCTGGGGGCAAGGCTCCTGGGGTGGAGGGGCCTCGAGACCCCCTTTGGTCCTTGGTAAGGCAGGCCCAGGGCCCCTTCTCGAGAAAGGGAAGGTGTGGGCTCAAGGGGTACGTGGGAGCTGGGGACTGCTGGCCCCTTGCTGGGAGGGGCGCAGTGGGGTTGTCAGGTACAAGGAGGCGGGCTGCTGGGGTTGTCTGAGGTGGGTTGAGAAGGAGCCAGAACTCAACACAGACTCACGGCCAGTGGGCCACCTCCCCCTGCTGTCCCCTCCGGCCTGGGGCTGCCCCTGGGTGAAAGCTCTTCCTAAGGCAGAGAGACTCAGGGGGGTGGAGACCAGTTCGGCCCCACCAGTCTCCAGGGCCCTTGGAGCCCACTCTGGCCCCGGGGCTCAGGGCGCAGAGGGCCAGGGCAGGAGAACCTCCACAGCTCTTCCTCCGCTCTCCCAACTCAGCCTTCTGATCCTCTGCTCCTCTGGCTGCGGTCAGGCAGAGGTGGGTGGGGGCCTAATTCCCTGTCTGGAGCAGAACTACATTTAGAAAGCTCTAACCCCCTGGCCTGAGGGACTGCCCCGGTCAGGAGAGTAGAAACAAATGCTCAGTTAGTGTGCAAACACAAAAGACACCTGGGCATAAATAAACAATGGAGGCAGGGCTGGCGGGGATGTTGGAAGGCCCGGAGGGGCCCCCACCCAGGGGCTGAGGGAGCCGCTGTAAGGCTCTTGCTGGGAGCCCCAGGAGCCACCTCGGAACCACAGGCGCCACGGCCAGCCCAGGCCCCCTAGCACCGTGAAGAGCGGGCGGGGCGGGGCGTCAGACCCACTCCTGCAGAGAGCGCTTGCAGTAGAGGAGCATGCGGGGCGCGCCCTTGCGCTGCATCTGCACCAGGGCGTAGGTGAGGCCCAGGACGCAGAGGAGCAGCAGCAGCGGGGGCACGAGCACCATCACCATGTTCACCGTCCGGGTCACCTCCTCCATCTGCACCACCACGCGGCTGCCCCCGTCCTTGTCCGGCCCCACCCCAAAGTCCCCCTCTCCGCCGCCCGGGCCCGCCTCGTGGCCCTCCTCGCCCTCCTCGCTGTCACCGCCCGCCCCGGGCTCTGCACCCCCGTCGGGGTTGAAGGGCGGGCGGGCCACGTCGGGCCATCGGGGTCCCGGCTCCACGTGCTCTTGGCAGCCCATGAAGTCCCGCAGGATGGACTTGGGGTAGCCAGGCTCCATCCGCAGACGCTCGTTGTCGAATTTCCAGTATTTGGTGCCCTTGTAGAAGTAGGTGTAGGCTGTGGGGGCAAGCGGGCCAGAGTGGCATCAGGCTGTGCCCCACTCGCGGGCTGGAGACCCTCAAAGAAGGGTCCTACGGCCTGCTGGGTTGGTGGCTGTGGTCAGGGGACCTGCTACCCTGTCCCAGGACTGGCTTCACCCCACACCAGAGAGGCCAGTGTTTTGCTGAAGGCCACACAGCCATCCTGCAGCGGATCTGGGTGGAGCCTGACCCTGCCTTGGACCAGCTCTCTGGCCTAGGGCACCTTGTCCTCATCCCATCAGCCCCGGGAAGGGCTAGGTTTGGACCACGGGTGAGCTATGCTCCACAAAGCACAGTGAGCTCAGAGCGGCTACAGTGACACCCTCACAGAAGCTGTGAGAGCCACTGAGCACTGGCAAAGCCAGCAGGGTCTCCCCTGCACCTGAGACCCAGGGCTGACGGTTTTTCTTAAACTTTTCAGAGACCCTGCTGGAGAAAGAAAAGCTACAGCTCCCTGTGGCTCGGTTAATCACAGAGATCGGGCTTCCCTTCCGGGCAGGTAAGTGGGCAGCCTGCGAGGACTCTTGCGCCCCATTGCTCTGAGCCAAGCTCACCCCCCTCAGGCTCCAGGCTCCCTGCGGGCTGCCCAGGGGCAGCCGGACCCTGCAGGGGGCAGGGTGCTTCTGAGCGCCTGCTCTGGACTCCTAACTCAAGTTGCCCGCTGTGGGATCTGGCGCCCCTTACTCAAGGTCTCTGGTTTAGTGTGGCTGTCCGTAAAAACGGAATGATGACGACGCAGGGAGGGCCAGGAGACATGCTCCGAAAGCTCCCAGCCCAGGCCTGTCACAGCTGTGTCCCCATACGTGGCGTCACAATGCCGGGTGACCTGGGGTAAGCCCTGTTCCCTGTGTTTGGAAGGGGGATGTGAGTACTGGGCAGACTGGAGGGGCTGACCCTGGTACCTGCATCGTTGCTCAGGAAGGCCCCTTTAGGGGCGGTGGGGATCCCCTGCCAGACACTGATGGGCTTGGGGTAGCCCGGGTCTCCACGCTGCGTCTCCTCATTGAAGCGCCAGTACCTGTGGCCAAAAGCACCAGGCTGTGGGCCTGCCCGGGCTGGAGCCCGTTCCCATGGGCACTGGGTCCTCTCTGGGCAGGCCTGGGGATACGGGGGCCTGGCTGTGGCCTTCTCCCTTCAGAGAGAGGGGCGCCCACCTGTCCTCTTGGAAGAAGAAGGTGTGACCCGTGGGCTCCCACCAGATGGCCGTGTCGATGTGGTCGTAGGGGATGCCCAGGCCATAGCTGGTCAGCGGCTGTGGGTAGCCGGGCTCCAGGTTCGCTTCTCGGAAGAGCCAGTAGCGGTCACCTGCGGGAGGAGCAGGGGGTGGATAAGGACAGGCCTGGGGCTGAGGGGGGTGTGCGGGAGGGGGCACGGGGAATGCGTTTCTGGGCCCACAAATCCATTCACATCCACTGCCACACACACCACACACACACACACAATCACACCCACACCCTCCTACACAGGACAGGCACTGACACCCACACACCCACAACACACAACGTGACGCACCTGTGTGTCTCACACCCTGCACTCACAGACACCTGTGACACAGTCTTACACGATCATGTCGCCCGCTCACACCTGTACACACATCACACGGTAACACTATACAGGGGCCTGCACTGAACATCCACCCCCCACACACAGTTCTTGTACAGAGAGAGGAAAGAGGGGGAGCCCTGCCTGACCTGGGTCTGGGGGCTGCATCCCTGGGGCACCCCAGTGCAAGGAACAGGGCTCCCCACTTCTAGTGTCGGCCCAGCCCTGTCCTCAGGGAGCTCCTGCCTCATTGGGGCTCAGGCCAGCGGGCTGGGGACACAGCTGATCCATCAGAGGGGCTGCTCTCGAGGCCCTTGCCAGGGAGGCAGGCCCCAGAGGGAGGGCTGGTGGTAGGGAGTCCGTTGTCCCTGTGGACAGACCACAGAAATCCTGCCCCAGTGTGGGCTCGGGGGACCCATTCTTATGAGGGGGGGCTGTAGGCGGCACACAGAGGCAAGGAGGGAGGGAAATGATGCGGAGCCCCTGTGCCGTAGAAGATGGACACTCGCCCCCAGTCAGAGCAGGGGCCCCCTACCCCCTGCTTTCTGTCACCTTCCCCCACCACTGCCTTGCTGCCTGGAGGACTTGTCTCCCCAGGGTGAGTGCACAGTGGGCAACAGGACAAGACCCTCAACGCAGCCCTTGGCTCTCCTCCCTCAGGCCCGGCTGGGTCAGAGGCCAGGCCAGGGGTCAGGGCAGGAAGGCTGCCCAGCCCCTCCCCCTCCCCCAGCTCACCTTTGAAAAAGACAAAACGCCCGTCTTGGCGCTCGTAGGCAGCACTGATGTCACCGGGCAGACCACGCCAGAAGTGCCCGATGGGCATGGGATAGTTGTCCAGGACGCGGTTGTGCCGGACCCGCCAGAACCAGCGGCCCTGGGGAGGGCGGGGGGGTGAGCGCGCAGAGCATGCATGCCACCTCGGCCTGGGAGAGGGCCCTCCTCCACCCACCCCTTCCCAGTCACGGACAGTCCAGGGGGGCCACCAAGATCCTGAGGGGCGGCTTAGAAAGCCAGGGCCCCACCAGGGAGAAAGGCTGGGGGGTATGGACCCCTGTGTGACCCCGTGCAAGGCTCTTGTCCCTCGGGCTGGTTTTCTCTTGGTCTGGGGTCTGATGGCTCCCAGGGGCTGCTCAGGGAGGGAGGGCTGGGGGCGTCTGAGCAGCCAGGTGGGGCCAGGCTCTGGGGGTGGGGGTGCTCTCCTGCTCTGAGCCCGGGCCAAGGGGCTGGGGGCGGCATGGGCAGGGGCCAGACCTTGAACACGAACATCTCCCCACGCAGCATGGCCACCGTGTCAAAGTCCCCGTCGCAGATGTTGGGGCCGTACTGGTCGGGCCGCTCTGTGGCTCGGGGCTGGACCGGTGGGCCTGGCTTCGGGGGCCGCTCTGGCTTCCCACCTGGGGGTGGTGGCTGCGGGGGTCTGGGGGGCCGATGGTCTGGCCGGCCTGGCCGCCGTGGAGTCACAGTGGGGAGGGGCCGGGTGGGCTGTGGCTGACCATCTGGGGTGCCTGCAGAGCGAGGGGGAGTGGGAAGTGAGGGGGGAGCCCTGGAACCCAGCCAGAATGCCAGGTTCTCCTACTCAGAACCCTGGGAGCCCAGGGTCCCCAGCTGGGGGAGACGTGTGCCCCAGTGGCAGGCCCACCCAGACGAAAAGCCCTGTCTGTCCACCGCAGACCCCTCCCCACACCTGCCATCCCCTCAGGAGGACCCTCATCCTCCTCCACACAGCCGCCTCCTGGGCCTCCCCACACTGCGCCCTGACGCTGCCCCTGGGCCCCTTCCCCTCAGGGACATTCCCCTCAGGATCCAGCCTGCTTCAGTGGAGGCTCCGGGGGACAGTGGACACTCACAGAGGAAAGAACATGGTTCTGCGAACTCTGTCCAGTGCCCACCTTGTTACCAGGTCGCCGGGGATACAGTGAGGGAGCGTCTGTCACGTGCCCACCAGGGCCTGACCCACTGAACTGGCCCTCAGGAGACCTCACCACTGGAGGCTGTCTCAGGTAAGGCCTGGGAGGGGTGCCACCTGCCTCAAAGCCACTGGGAGGTGACAACCTGACAACACTCAGCAGAGAGCCCAGGACAGGCTCGGGCTAGGAGCAACAGTGGGAGGAATGGGGTCCTGGGGCCCCAGGGGCACCCTCGGTCTAATAAGAGGCTGAGGGGGAAAGGGGGGTCAGTGAGGGTCCCCTGGAGGGCCCCAGCCTGGAGCCAGCGTGAGGGCACTAGGTGTGGGCCCTGGGGTCTGTTGAACTCTTGACAGCAGCATCATTTCTAGCAACATCATTTACTCACTGAGGGATGCAGACAAGTCACTAATGATCTCTGGGCCTCAGTTTCCTCATCTACAAAATGGGGAGAGCAGTCGTTCCCATGCTTCGAGGGGCTGGAGTTGAGAGCAGGCATGCAGAGCCCACCGGTGCGCCCGTGCCACCGCTCACCGTAGAGCTGCTGGATGCCCCGGAGGTCGTCCTCAGGCAACTGGAAGTTGTCAGTGTCCATCCACTGGTAGAAGGGCGCCATGATGGCACTGGGGTTGCTCGAGTGCTCCAGCCCCAGTGCGTGGCCCAGCTCGTGCACTGCTACTAGGAAGAGGCTGTTCCCTGCAGTGGGGGCAGCAGCACAGTCAGCTCTGGCCCAGGCAGGACCTGGCCACCCCAGACCCTGTGGGCTGAGGCTGCCAGAGAGCCTGCCCTTGCTTCACTCTTAGAAGAGGCTGAGCTGCTCTGACTTCTGGGCCTCCAATGTCCCCATCTGAGAAATGGGTGCAATGACCCCTTCCCTTCCTTACCACCCCTCTGAGATTGTGGGACAACAGACAGATATCAAGTGTCAGAGCTCTGGAGAACCACACAGGGAAGCTCTCCCCTCCTAACCCTGCAGCTCTGTCTTTGTCCCCCCCAACCCAGCCCCTACCCTGGCCAGCTGTCCTCACCATGCAGGTCAGTGCTGGAGAAGGTCCAGGGCTCATCGGCATCGAAATGGGTATCCCCACCCAGCCCAGGGCCAGGGAAATAGGCGTGGGCCAGAAAGCCGCCGGTGCCGTCAAACGGTGAGCTGTCGCCGTGGAAGCCGGAGGCGAAGAGTACCATGATGTCGGCCTCCTTCTGCCGCCGCAGCCGGATGTCCTCGTAGGGCACCTCCTGGAAGACCAGGGGCGTGGCCTGCTCCCACACGCGGAAGGCCCTGCGCACCGCCTCCAGCGAGTGGTACCAGCCCAGCTTCTCCGTGTAGTTCTGGATGCTGCGGGTGGGCGGGGAGACCCGAGAGTGAACCCCGGGCCTGGGGCTACGGGCCACTGCCGCGCCCACGGGGCAGGGGCGGGGACACATGGTCCCAAGGACCGCGAGTAAGTTCTGAGCTGGTCCACGGACAGTGCCTGTCAATATCAACCCTTAGTTTACTCTGATGTGAATTTGAACAAGAGAACTAACATGTCAAACCCAGGAGTTCGTTAGGCTATCACTGAATAAGGTTGCATTGTGCCAAATAAGCTTATTTTAAGCAAGGAAAACATTAAATAAATGTATAGGTGACATGTAGCCAAGAGAAAGACCTAGAAAGTGGGATACAAATGGCTGAGGTTTAGGAAACAGAGGCCAAGTGGTTCTGGATATTGGGCTCCACGGTCAGGCCGACCCGAGTTCAACGCCGAGATCTAACCGTATCTGTGTGACCTTGGGCAAGTGACTCAGTCTCCCTGCACTTGAGTTTCTTCATCTGTAAAATGGGAAGAGGAGGGTGGTGCTGTCATCACGGGCGCTCTGTGAGGATTAAGTGAATTAACTCATGTAGAACACGTGCCACTGAGGCTGCACATGGGAGATGCATGAGGCGGCCTGTTATTAGGCGGATAAATCCGACTGAGCCTCTGTGTGCTGGACAGACCTCCATCACAGCTGGCTGGACCGTGAATTCACTCTGGGGGCCTGGGGTCCACGAGGCCACAGGAGCTGCTCTTCTGTGAGAGACGGAGCTCCAGGTGGGGTTGTGGCTGGGGTGGGCCGTGGCTGGACTGGAACAGGAAAGGGGCCCTTGGGGACTGCCACATGGCTCGAGGCTCAGAGGGGTTTCTTGCCCAAGGGCTCGGCAGAAAGAAGGAGGGAGCCTGAACCAAGGTTTTTGCAGGTGACTTGCTGCCTGCTTACCTGACAGATGCCCGGATTCTGGCACCCTGGCCCTCCCTCCCCTGCCTGAAACCCCAGGCCCTGCACTGTGGAGGCCCCCAGTTTGCACTGGTGCAGGAGCCCATCTGGGCCCTGGGCTGCTGGCGGGTGGGGCCACAGAGCGGAAGCAGCTCCAAGGGTCCCGACCTTCTCTGGAGGGGGACTGGCTGCGGTGTGCGGCCAACCCCGTCAGTGTGGGAGCCGGCCGGACTGCTGTGCTGGGCACCCCGGGGTGGGCTGCTGGGAAAGGAAGCCTTCTAGACGAGCCCACTGGGAAGCCCGAGGCCTCAGCCCAGACAGGGAGAGGGCCGAGCAGCCTCCGGGAGACGCCCTGGGAAGGACACCACCCTGGGCAGCGGGGGCCCTACCTGAAGGTCAGGTGGTGGTTGTTCCACTTCCTGCCAGTGAGGGCATAGCGCCGCCGCCGCCGCCGCAGATTGGCCTTCACGCGCACCCCGAACTGGTCCGGCACCCCGCAGCGGGGCCGCTTCATCCACCTGGGCACGGGGTGGCGGGGTGAGCACACAGCCTCCCCTCCACACGCCTGCCCACACTGGCTCTGCCTCTTCCAGGCAGTCCACCTTCTTCCGGGCCTCTCCGGCCTCTGGCCCTCGCACGGCTATGGTGTGGGGGAGACTCTCTAAGCTTTGACTTCCTCATCGGGAAAATGAGTGAAACGATCTCGTACTGGAAGACTGAGTGCCCAGCAGTGGCTCCGCACAGGTGAGCCCTTCTCACTAGCATCACCCAGGAATCGGAGAGCCACTCCTAGGCCTCCTGTCTTTGGCATGTTATGCGATGTGCACGCTTATCAAGGAGGTGGCTCTGGGTCACGTCCCCTCTGTTAGATTCAGAACAAGGCTAGCTAGGATGTCCCATCCAGGCACGTGTGCTGTGCCTCCCATTCCCATGCCTGTAGCAGACATCACTAGTCAATCCCATGCTCCTTCTGGCCAATCCGGGATTCAGCCTCAGGAGCTTTCTCAACACAAGGCTTTTGGCACCCAACCAATCAGAGCTGGCATGGAGGGCCAAACCATCTGCCATCTCTTATTTAGGCCCCTCTTTTCTGGAAACTCCACATGCCAAGCCCTCATCAGAGTAGGCCAGAAGGAGGGCATGTGCCATTGCGGTCTGGGAAGGGCCCGACGGAGGGACTCACGCCTTGGTCTCTTCGTCGAGCACGCCCGTGACAGGGATCCCGTAGAAGCGCTGCATCTCGGCGAGGGCGGAGGCCAGGATCTGGGCGGAGCGCATGGTGGACATGTGGCGGCTGGGCTGGGGCAGGTAGCCGTAGAGCCGCAGCCAGTTCTGCAAAGGAGAAGCCAGACCTGGTCAGCGGGTCCTGCACTGCAACCTCCAAACACGTATAGCCTGCGTGTGACCACTGCTCACCACCTCCACCACTGTCGCCCGGTCAGAGCCGCGCCTCCTGCCGGGGTGACCGGCTGAGCCTCCGTACCACTCTCCCTGCTTCCACCTCCTGTGGTCTATTCTCACACAAGAGCCAGAACAAAAGGCCTTCAGAAGTCAGGTCCGGTCAATTCTCTGCTTAGAACCTTCCAAAAGCTTCTCATCTCAGAGGAAAAGCCAGTTGTTACAGGAGCTGCCAGGCCCTCACTCCCTGGCCCCACCTCAGCTCTCAGACCTCACTCCTCCCATCCACCCCAGCCTGGCATGTTCTGGCCTCAGGGCCTTTGCACTTGCTGTCTGCTGTCCAGAGCACTCTCCCCCAGACATCTGTATGGCTCACACCTTCATCTTCAGGTCTCTGCTTCAACCTCACCTTATGGGAGGAGTGTTGTCTGACGACACTATGTGAACGACACCCCCCACCCCCGCCGTACCCTACACTCCCTCTCCTCCTTTCCTGCACATCACCATCTGACACACTGTATGTTTCACTTGGGTGTTTATCGCTTGTCTTCCCCCTTTAGGACGGAAGCTGTGTCCATGAGGACAGTCCACAGTAGCTGTTCTTATTATTGCACTGGCCCCTCCTGGCTGGGCCCCCTGTCACACCAGGCTGACTGCTAGGGACCCTAAGGGGTTCAGAATCTTTTGAGGCTTCACCAAGTAGGAAAACCTGCCCCTTGGCACTGCTCCCCAACAGACCCTAAACCTCCTGTAAAGAGAGCAGATGGATTCGGGCAGCCCACCCAGGCCCAAGAGGGTAGGACTGGAGGCCTGAGGTCCAGTCCCTGCTTTGCCACAAACTCTGTTCTCTCTGGCCTGAGCTTCCTCATCTGTACGACGGAACAATGGGGCTTCTGGGGGGTGAGATTTGAGTGACAGCCCTGGGAATAGCAGCTGGCACACAATGGAGGTGCCTGTCCCCTTCCAGAGCTTGTTGGGCAGGTCGTCTCATCCATCTATCCATCCGTCCATTTGTCCACCCACCCACCCACCCTACCACATGTTTCTGAGCACCCTCTCTGTGCCTGGCACCATGGCCACTGGAGGCTGTGAAGGACCACGGCCAGGGGGGCCTGACCTCCAGGGGCTTGCAGTCTCCCTGGGGAGACCCGGTGCACCCACAGAGGAATTCACGCCTGCAAGTGTGTGAGCAGACATGACGGTGAGAGGGAGGGGACCCGAAGGGCTGCTCTCTGAGAGGCTCGGAAAGGTGGGGCTGCACGTCAGGGCTCCATAAGGCAGGATAGCGGCCAAACACGGTGGTTGCTCTGGACTGACAGCCACGTGTCAGCTGGTCAGGGCCACGCCCACATCTGTCTGCCACCAGTGTCACATCCAACACCTTGGGTACTTGCTCCCTCACTGCCACCTGCCAGCCCAGCCCCAGTGCCCGGCCAGGCCCCTGGTGTGGACAGGCTGCCCACACAGCCTGGCTCGGCAGTACCCAGGCTGCCGCTGGAAGGAGCAGCTGCTGAGCCAAAGAAACTGCCAGAGCCAGAGACCGGATGCCCAGTCACGGCTTCCAGGCCTCGCAGGGCCCCGGGAAACAGCCACAGAACGACGAGGCCGAGTCACGGAGCTGAGAAACAACCAGAGCTGGGGACAAATCCCGGCCTAGCCACTTCCGAGCTGTGGCTCCATGCCTCCCTCAGTCCACCATCAGTGAAAGGGGTTGTTAGGACCTGCCGCATCTCATCACCTTCTGCGAGGATTTGACAGGGAGGCCCACACTAGCACATGGCAGTGTGCTGGGCAGGGGCAAGTGCCCAATGAATGTATTATCAGTGACAGAGGGGGCCTGTCTGGTCGCCCCCTAAGCAGCAGCCTTTGCCTCTACCAACAGGCTTGAAGGGTCCAGGCTCCAATGGGGCCTGAGCTCCCGGCAGCCTCAGGTGAGGGCAGGGCAGCTGGGGGATGTAAGAGCGCCCAGTGGCCTCCCCCGCTGACCCCCTCACCCCTCCGGTCCTTCCCTCAACCCCAGCAGACCCTGGCAGTGTCACGGGCACCCTCCCTGCTCTTCCCAAGCACAGGAAGCCTTTCTCCCTGCCCTTCTCAAGCACAGGAAACCTTTCCTGAAGCTCTGTGTGTATTAAGGGGGGGAAGCCCACCACCCTTAATGCACGTGGTTTTCCTGAAGAAGCTTGGAGAGATCTAGAAGGCAAGGCCATGATGCTCGGTCAGCTCTAAAGTGAAAGGAATCCAGCCGGAGGTGGGGGAGATGTGGGGCTGTCTGCTGACAGCTGAGGGCACCTCTGCATCACCTATTTGCATAAGGTAAAAATATCTCGGGAGCGCAATCACAGGCCACCAAGGGGCTGATTAGCGGTGTCTGCAGAGTGACAGGAGGAGGGCAGGCGGGGAGGCTCAGGCTGGGGCCCTGGGGAGGGAAGGGGGGCTGGCCTGTCTGCAGTGAAGAGCTCCAGAGCCAGAGGAGCGGATGGGGCAGGGGGGACCCCCTCCATCCCAGGGCAGCTCAGGGGCTGACAAGAAGGTCCCAAGTGTGCCTGTGGGCCCTCCTTCACACAGACAAGCCCCCTTCAACTCCCAGGGAGGCCAGGGGCTTCCCTCTCAGGATCAGTCAAGCCTTGAACTCTGGTGACAAATGCCTCGGGGACACTGCCAGGGTGAGAGGCTGAGGCTGGGGACCGATGGCATGGGTGGCCTTGGCCCAGAGCAGCCGAGCCCTGGATGACAAGGTCAAGAAGCTGACAGAGCCTGCCTGACTCTGGCAAACTCGTGCTCGGGGCAGAATGCCAAGTGCCAATCAGTCTGCTGGGCGATGGCAGACGCCTCCCGCAGGGCTGTGGGCTTTTCCTCTCCCCAGTGTCCCAGAGGAAGTTTCTCGCCAGAGGTGAGGACACGGAGGGAGAAGACAGCACGGGCGCTGCTGCCCCTGGTGAGGGGGTAAGCCCCAGCTTGCTGGGGTGCTCTGCTGCCATGGGACAAAAGGGGGGGGCGATTCCCAAGGTCATGACCAACCTCCCAGTCTCACAGTGGGGGAGGGGCTGTGTTCAAGCCCCTGCTGCTCCTGCTGGTGACTGTAGAGACTGTCCCTTACACAAGGTGCCTCCTTTTCCTCCTGTCACCTAGAGTCTCACAGATGGGGTGAGCCAAGCAGGCTCACCAAGCTTGTCTCTCAGGTGGGGAAACTGAGGCTCAGGGAGGTCAGTAAGTGGCAGAGTAGGGGGACCTCCTCCATGAGGGCCACTGTCCAGTGGGAGGCAGGGAGGGTTCTGAAGAGGGCTCTGGGGCCATGAGCCCCTCCTACCCGCAGCCCAGGGTGGGAGGCTGCTGCAGGAGACCCCACCTACCCTGGTTCTTTCAGCCATTTCTTTCTTGAGCTCCAGACCCCCATCGCATAAATATGTATAGATGCTTCAGGTGAGTGGCTGGCCCCAGGCAGGGAGACGTGGGGCCACCAGGAGTCTGAGGGGGGATTGCTGGACCCCTGACCCTCCAGGCTATAAACGCAGCAGCCAAGGGCTGAGATTCTGCCGTGGGCCAGGCTGTCCACTCTCATCAACCATTCAATGCCCACAAGTACCCTTGAAAGGTAAATATGTTGCCATCTGCATTATACAGACAGTGAGGTTCAGAGAGGGTGAGTGGACCACCCAGGGACACACAGCTGGTCTGGCTAGAACTGGAGCTCAGAAGCAGTGCTATTGGACCACGCTGTGAAGGAGCACCAGCTCCTCTTGGCCTGAGGCTGGGGACACTGGGCTCCAGCCCTTCTCAGGAAGAGTGCCCAGCACAGCACTGGGGGAGGGCATCTATTCCTCCCCACACCCCACATCTCTGGCTGGTCTGGGCACCGGGCCACATCAGCAGGGCTGCCCCCCAGGACTGCTGAGACAACACCAAGGCAGGCCCACAGGGAGGGAGTGTCTGAGAAGGAGCCGCCAGATCAATACTGTGCATTAAGCAGCTGTGGGGGGTGCGGGGTGGGGGTAGGGGTGAGCGCCGTGCTGCCACCACAGCCAGCTCCTCCAGCCAGCTCCCCGGGGCTATTATCAGACCCTGTGCGATAAGGACAATCTCTGCTGGGCTCTGCTTTGCTTCTGTCACCCACGGCTCTCTGCGGTCCCAGCATACCCCGGCAGGGCTGCCCAGCCAGGCACAAAAGGAGTCTTGTCAGGCCTGCCAGCAATGGACCTGGACCTTTCATGGCATCGTGAGGTCCTCCCCGTGCCCATCTCCCGTAGCCTGCACCCCGGTCTGGGGGCTCTTGGGAGCAGGCCAAGCCTCGCCTGGCTCTGCACTCCCAGCCATGCCGGGCACAGAGCCGGCGCTGAATGGGATGCTGAGTCCGGGAGCAGCCACAGACCCTGCTGAGACAGGGCACACATTCCAGGCCCACCAGGCCCACCTCTGTCCCGGGGATCGGAGTCGGGAGCCCACTCACCAGCTGGGTGACCCCGAACAAGCCCCAGGCTCATCCAGTCCCAGGCTAGAAGGGACCTCAGGGCCATCAGGCCCAGCTACCTCACTGGAGCCACCATGGACCACAGCTGGGCCCAGGACTCCTCCAGTCTGCAGAGACGGGGCGCCCACTGCCACCAAGGTAGACCCTCCCGTCTTGGGGCAGTAGAAAGCTCCTCCTCGGGCTGAGCAGAAATCTGCCTCCTAGTGACACCTGCCCCTTGGTCCTGACTGCTTGTCCACGTAACAGGCCTTCGAGTAATGGAAGAGGGCTAAGACAACTTCTCTGAAGCCCCTGTTCCCTCCTCGCAAAAGGCAGTCAAAATGATCACTCCCCGCCTGCCCCCCAGGGATGAGAGCATAGATGACATAACTAGCCCCAAGGCCAGTGAGGAGAGGGGGCCCCAAGCCAGGCCACCCCATCCTTGGTGGATCACTTACTACCTTTAGAGGCAGCATGGTCCATATTTAAA